CCTAATTCAAAGTTAAAGAGAGGGATTAATTTAGGATTAAAGATAAAATAAAAAGGGTCATATCATATTTTTTAATGGGTCTGGCTAGGTGGGTGGATCACTAAATGATTTAATTTATTTTTTAAAATTTTTGGTTTGTTATATAAATAATTAATATCAAAAAATTTTAATTAAAAATAATTTAATAGATTGAGTGACTTTCTGAGGAAAGAGTGGATAGTTGAGTGACTTTTGAGGGAAAATTGAAAGTTGAGTGACTTTTGAGGGAAAATTGAAAGTTGAGTGACTTTCTGAGAGAAGAGTGCATAGTTGAGTGACTTTTGAGGGAAAATTGAAAGTTAAGTGACTTTCTAAGAGAATAGTGCAAAGTTGAGTGACCATCTGAGGTATTAACTCCAGATTAATGTATCAACGCATCAAATTAATCTATCTCGCGCATCAGATTAGTGTATCATGCATATAATGTATATCAGATTAGTGTATTGTGTATAAAATGTAATGTATCTTACTTAACGATTAATATATCTCGTGTATCAGATTAATGTATCAGCGCTCATGTTATTGTATCAGTTTGAGAGATTTCTGTAATTATAAACTTGTAAGGAACAAATGATAATTTCACCTTAAAAATATGTAATTTTTATCGTTTGCACTTATTTTTATCAATCATTGATATACAAAATTTTAAATGGAGACTTGAAAGGGGAATGCATAGGATTGACTTTATAATGATAATTTTAAGGAATAATCAATGAATTTTAATTTTAATATTTATACATATTTAATGAATTTATTAACACAAATATACGCGGCGAAATCATACATGATCCGAATAATTAAAATGGACACATTTTTTCAATGAATTGAGTGATGTAATATATATCTAGGTGGATTTTACACATGGTTAGTAGACTTAATTATAAAGTGATTAATGAATTGGTCAACAAGTGAAAATCAACAAGCATGGTAAGAAGATATTTCTTTTCATTTTTTTAGGATGGTAACATCTTTCAATTATGGAAACGATTTTAAGTTTCTAATCAGTTACACTGATTTACTCACTATCTTTTAATATTTTCCAAATTAATCCCATTTGAAATATTTTCCTACTGATTAAGTCAAGTCAAATGTAATCCTGAGTTAATACCAAAATTAAGCAAGAAATAAACTGTGATTTCACACTATATAAAAGGTGTTAACTTTAATACATAGCATAATTCCAGCAAAAAAAAATAGTAGAAAGAAAGAGATAAATAATATATAGAGTATTAATTTGCTCTAGATTTGTTTGTCAGTTTTCTTTCAGTGTTAATTTTTGGCTGGTTTTGTGTGTGAAAAATAATATATATAGAGAAGTGCAAAAAGAAAAAACAAAAGTTTATCTTTTGAATTATTTTTTTTTGCACTTTGAGGGATTTCAACAAGAAAACAAAAATGTCAACAGCTGAAAGAAATAATTCTAAAATCACAATTTATGTGCTTTCTTGTTGGATTTTTGCTGCTTTTGGTGGCCTCATGTTTGGTTATGATATTGGTATTTCAGGTATGTTTTTTTTTTTCTGTATCGGAAACAATCTTTCTACTTTTACTGGGTAGTAGGTAGGGTTAGGTAGTAGGTAGGGTTAAGTGTATGTTGTTGTTATCCGTTACAAATCCATGGTTAAGTAGGATTAACAATGATTTTTTTCATAAAATTCTCATGGAATCAAAAATGAAGTTGTATGTTTATACCACAGGGATAGATAGATCCACAAATCTATTGGGACGAACTTTGTCCATTGTTTAATTCCTTTTGGTTCTGCCACTGTTTGCTGAATTCACTCTAGGAATTCAAAATGAAAAAAAGATTAAATTTTTTTTTGATGTAATTAGGAGGAGTTTCTGGTATGGATGATTTCTTGAAGAAATTCTTTCCAAAAGTGTATGAAAGAAAGTCACATGCCAAAGAGAATAACTACTGCAAGTATGATGATCAACTTCTCCAACTCTTCACTTCATCCTTATACTTATCGGCTCTTGTCGCGAGCTTTTTTGCTTCAAAGTCCGCCACTAAATTTGGGAGAAGGCTTACCATTTGCATGGCTTCAATCTTTTTCCTTGCTGGAGCTGTTCTGAGTGCTGCCGCGAAAAACAAGTTGATGCTCATTTTTGGTAGAATTTTGTTTGGTGTTGGTGTTGGCTTCGGAAATGAGGTATATATAGTCAACCTTAGATTATAAAGGTTATTAGTTCATGTTTTGATGTATTGTCAGTACATACAACTTATACTCAAAGAGCTGGTTGTAACTTTTACATTGTTTACAGACGGTTCCACTGTTTTTGACTGAAGTTGCACCAATCCAACACAGAGGAGCTGTGAATATACTTTTCCAACTCTTTGTGACAATAGGAATTTTCATTGCGAATCTTGTTAACTATGGAACCTCAATGATACATCCACATGGTTGGAGATTATCACTTGGCCTTGCAGCTGTGCCCGCAATAGTTTTGTTTGTCGGTAGTTTTGTGATCACTGATACCCCCTCGAGTCTGATTGAGCGTGGCAAGGATGAACAGGGCAAGACCGTGCTTAAGAAGATTAGGGGTGTCAATGATGTTGAGGTTGAGTACCAAGAAATCGTGGCAGCTTGTGAACAAGCCAAGCTAGTTAAGTATCCGTTCAGGAACTTAGCAAAGGCTGCTAGTATTCCACCACTTGTGATTGCTATCTTGTTGCAAATATTCCAGCAATTCACTGGAATCAATGCCATTATGTTTTACGCGCCTGTCCTGTTCCAAACTATGGGTTTCAAGTCTGAAGGCTCACTATTGTCCTCTGTCATTACTGGACTTGTTAATGTTGGAAGCACTTTTGTTTCCATCTACCTTGTTGACAAGGTTGGAAGGAGAAAATTGCTTCTCCAAGCTTGTTGTCAAATGTTAATTTCTCAGGTATGATATCATATACTATTTCCTGTCTACATGATTATTCATCAAAACTGAGAATTTATATTTGGTTTGAATGGTGCAGTTGGCAATTGGAGCTATTTTGGTAACAAATTTGGAGGAGACAGGAACATTAAACAAGAAATTAGCAGCAATAGTTGTGCTTCTGGTGTGTACTTATGTGATGTCGTTCGCGTGGTCATGGGGGCCTCTTGGTTGGTTAATTCCAAGTGAGACATTCCCATTGGAAACAAGGACAGCTGGTTTCGCATTTGCTGTCAGCACAAACATGCTCTTCACTTCTCTCATTGCACAAGCTTTCTTGACTATGCTCTGCACTATGCAAGCCTACATATTCTTCTTCTTCTCCGCTTGGATCGTTGTCATGGGACTTTTCGTCATCTTCTTCTTGCCCGAAACAAAGGGTGTCCCCATTGATTCTATGGTGGAAAGAGTCTGGATGCAGCACCCTGTTTGGAAGAAACTCTTCTAAAATCCATTCAAGTTTGTTGGCTTCTTATTTATACCATCCTACTTATTTGGATATCCTATTATCAGATTTTGAATCCTTATTTTATACCTAATACAATGATATATCTTGGAAAGTTCATTTGATTTCTAATTGCCTTGCATATGTTTGATTGTTTAATTATTTTGTGTTTGATTATTTAATTTTCTTTTTATCAGATTTTGACTCCTTATTTTATTCCTAAAACAATGATATGAAAAGCATTTGATTTCTTCTTAGCCTTGCATATGTTGATCGTTTAATTATATCGATTCACGTTCGGATAAATTTTATTGTGTTTAATTATTTAATTAAAATTTCTAATTAAAGTCTTGAACTTTATTTTGTGTTTGACACAATATACGAGAGTCCTCCATAACACAATATATATAGTTGTCAGTTTAAATGGTTTTAAATTGAAATTGTTATCTCACTAAATTAGTTAATAAGGTAAATGCAAACCCACCTCATTAGTTAATAGAACATTTTTGGTTAATCCAAACCCACCTCATAAAATTGGTAGAAGTTTCTAAACCTTTTAAAATTAGATTAAAATTTTTCTTGATTTTCTAGTGATAGTAACTAAAATTTTATATAATATCATCTAATAGATTGTACCGCAAACAAATGAATGACATTTTATTAACTTAAAATTAATTTTAGCTAATATAAATATTAACAATAATATTACTTTATAGAGTTAAAAGAACTTACGTTTTTCCAAAGATGGTGAAAAAAAAATGTTTGAATAAATATAAGACTCTTCCAAAAAAGAATTTGGCTCAACCCAACTTATTTGCTATCTTGAGATTTTGGCTCCTATTGTTGTTCCTAATAGAATGATATATCTAAATCTTGAAAAGTTAGTATATTATTGATTTGCTTTAGATAAAATGGTTCTTTAGATTTAATTTTGTGGAAGTATAATAATTTTTGGTGATATCAACACCGCAAAAAAATAGTTTTCACTTTTTTATATTACTAACTAAATTTTTTGTATAATATTATGTGACAAATTGTATTGCAAATAAATAAATGATATTTTATTAAGTTAAATTAATTATAACTACTATAAATATTATTATTAATAATAATAATATTATATAAAGTTAAAGAATATATGTTTTTCGATAAAAAAAAATATGAAAAAGAATAAAGAAAAAAAATTGGGTCTTACTAAAATATTTTTATACCAATGCAATTTACTATTTTTACAGTAGTAAAAAGATAAATGAATAATGTTAACTGATAAGTTGGAGGATAAAATGAGTAACATTAGATGATGAATCTCCAAAATTCATGGAAGACCAAATCTCATTTATAAAAGTGATTTGACTTTATCAAACTAACTTAATTCTAGGATGATATTTTAGAAAAAAATATTAGTGAGTGATAGATTTTTTTAAACATTATATATACTGAACAGAAGGAGAGAAAAAGAAGAACAAAGTATTTTACAGAGAGTAAAAAAGAACAAAGTATTTTACAGAGAATTATCTTTGAGATATTAGAGTATAAAGCGAAAATGACTGTTACTGATGGCCATAATTCTAAAATCACAGCTTATGTCCTCTCATGTTGGATTCTTGCTGCGTTTGGTGGCTTAATGTTTGGCTATGACATTGGTATTTCAGGTACGAATTCGATAGATATGTCAGTTTATCAACAATTGATTGTTGCAATTCTTCAATAAGTCAGGCAATTAGATGAACGGTAAAAAGAAATTAGTGGGTAAACAGGTTAAAAATTACTTTAAATACCTGTGATAAACCTTGAATACTGTTATTAAGACTTAGTCATGATATTGAAATTTTTGACATAAACTTGTGGCAATTTTTTTGGTTTTTGTTTTAATTAGGAGGAGTTTCTGCTATGGATGATTTCCTGAAATTGTTTTTTCGAAATGTGTATGAAAGAAAGAAAAGAGCGAAAGAGAATAACTACTGCAAGTATGATGATCAACTTCTCCAACTCTTCACTTCATCCTTGTATTTATCTGCTCTTGTTGCGAGTTTTTTTGCTTCAAAGGCAGCCACTAAATTAGGGAGAAAGATTACTATGATGATGGCTTCACTTATTTTCATAGCTGGTGCTGTCTCGAGTGCCATGGCACATAACAAAAAGATACTCATTCTTGGTAGAATTTTGTTTGGCGTTGGTATTGGATTCGGAAATGAGGTAATAAATAAATGCATAAAACTTTAGAATATCGACTTTTTGTTTATCTAACACTTGGCATTGTTGCAGACTGTTCCACTGTTTTTAACTGAAGTAGCACCAATCCAACACAGAGGAGCTGTGAATATTCTCTTCCAACTCTTTATAACAATAGGAATATTGATAGCAAATCTTGTCAATTTTGTAACTGTAAATATTCATCCAAATGGTTGGAGGATCTCACTTGGCTCTGCAGTTATACCTGCCACGGTTCTTTTCCTTGGTACCTTTGTCATCAATGACACTCCCATGAGTTTGGTTGCACGTGGCAAGCCGGAGAAGGCAAAGGTTGCCCTCAAGAAGGTTAGGGGTGTCAGTAATGTTGATGTTGAGTATGAGGAAATTGTGGCATCGTGTGAACAAGCCAAACAAGTTAAGCATGCGTTCCGTAACTTAACAAAGCCTCCTAGCATTCCACCACTTGTGATTGCCATCATGTTGCAGATCTTTCAGCAATTTACCGGAATCAACGCCATTATGTTTTATGCGCCTGTCCTGTTTCAGACTATGGGCTTCAAGGGCAGTGGCCCCCTTATTTCCGCTGTCGTGACTGGATCTGTTAATGTTCTCAGTACATGTGTTGCAATCTATGCCGTTGACAAGGTTGGAAGGAAAAAATTGCTCATCCAATCTTGTTGTCAAATGTTAATCTGTCAGGTACCAAAGTATGCATATTCAATCTTCAACACTCTTCTCTTCTTGGTTAATTTCATCTCTACTGACTGCACTTTCTTTTCTTTTTTTTTTGATGTTGCAGGTAGCGATTGGATTCATTTTGCTAAAAAATTTGTCGGATACAGGAGGGTTGAACAAGACAATGGCAATGATAGTGGTGTTTCTCGTGTGTGCGTATGTAATGGCGTTTGCATGGTCATGGGGACCACTTGGTTGGTTAATTCCAAGTGAGACATTCCCAATGGAAACAAGGACAGCTGGTTTTGCATTCGCGGTCAGCACAAACATGCTCTTCACTGCTATCATTGCACAAGCTTTCTTGACAACGCTCTGCTTACTGCGAGCCTATACTTTCTTCTTTTTCTCTGCCTGGATCTTTGTCATGGGACTTTTCGCCATCTTCTTCTTGCCTGAAACTAAGGGAATTCCCATTGATGCCATGGTTGAAAGAGCCTGGAAGAAGCACCCTGTTTGGAAGAAACTCTTCTAGAATGCATCGTTTTTATAACATGCATTAGGATATCAGTTTTTGTGAACAAAATTGCATCGTTGTTATAAAATGGATTAGGATATCAGTTTTTGTTAACAAAAATTGTTATTTTCTCCATCCTCCCCTATCTTCCCATCCTTTTATCAAATTTTGTTCGTGAAACAATAATATATCAAAAGTCCAAAAAAGTTAGTGTCATCTTGCTTTGCTTTGTATAGATTGATTGTGTGTTTACCTACATTACATACACACAAACATACATTATTCTCGAAACTTTATTTTATGCAAGTGTTGTCTATGTTTGGCAATTGCAAGTTGAATTCGTATCACACACATTCAACATGTCAAACATTGGCAATTCTCGTATCAGTTGTGTAAGGATTTCTCCATGTTGTTCTTGTTCCACGTTCAAAATGAACAAGGATGGCGGTGATTTCTCACCTACTTTACTTTTGAATAGCAAATGACTTGAGGAAAATAAATAGGCCAAAGGAAAATCTAAACTTTTGTTCTGCATATATATATAACTTTATGTTCCTTGTTTAACAAACAAACTTGAATTTCACATATCATTGTTTCAGCAATGGATTTCTTTGAAAAAAGTTTGTTGGCCGGAGCTCGAAACCCTCATAAATAGAAGGCATCACAGGAAAATCTTCTTGGCATGGTACATGATGCAACCCAACAGTATACCAAAACACAATATCCTTGTTTTTGATAGTCCTATTCCTGCATACAACACAAGAATCAAGTAAAAAAAAACAAGATTGGGAAAATTAAACATCGACTATGTACTAATCGATATTCATAAGTTCAAGAAATACACTTCTTGAGACCTATGTAACACCCTAGGCCGACCCCACGTGACAAATCACAGGAGAAATGTTGGATATTTAAAGAAGTACGTAAGAATTAGACCGGTAGTGAAGCATATTAAGCTATACAGGCGTACCTAGGTCCAAAACAAACAATATCACTAGTTTGATGTGTTTTTACATACTAAATTTACCTGAGGCTCCATATTGCTAGGCCATCATCTCCGTGACTCCTATCAGTGTAGAATCCTCCAGCCCATCTTTCTGATTTATTGTATGGTGTCACCCATAACTGATACTTCATATAAGCTGCTCGACGTTGAGGGTAGTCATCATCTGATAGCAAGGACATGGCTGGTCGACTTGGTATTAATCGATAAGAAACATCATTTCCAACTTTTGTCTTCTTATTTGAATTTACAATCAACAATTCAACTGGTTCTTGTCCTAAGTTTGTCTTAGCCTCGCTTTCTGCTTTCATCGTTTCCTTAACAACTTTCCAATAACTCTTCCTAGGTGAAACCTTTCGCTCCTTCACAGTCGTAGTTATCAATTTGGATTTTATAAATGAATTATCAGTACCATCAACATCAACATCCAGGTAGTAAGTAAGGAAATGATCATGGTTCACTGCAATTGTGTTTTCTGCCACAAGGGTACCATAAGCATCCTCTGTTATTTGATTATCGTTCGTATATTTCACAGCCTTTGTCTCCATAACTCCAGTTAAACTTACCTGCATAGACAATTCAACAAATAAAGATTGCGAAAGAATTTATACTTAACAAGCATAACATCTTTATTTTCTTACTCCAACTTTGATAGCTCCACTTTGTTTGAACTCCCAATCAAGTGTGTAATCATAATTTCCCACTGTTGCTACCATCCTAACAACCAAATTAACTTCTTGCTGTCCCTTAGATTTCTGCAAAAAACAAATTATTTATGTCACTAGACGATCACGATAGTTAGTATATATGCAAAATGTTTGATTTGAGGCTTACTGTATTTCCTGGTACTCCATTTTCTGTATGCCTCCAAGCAGCATCACCAACATATCTTTCAAATATGCATATCGCGTTTGGTACTTGCACTACCCCTCCTTCTGAATCAGCCATATATCCAACCATATACACTGCATTGCTCGGACAATCTAGCAACGGGACAAGACTACTAGCGGACCTTCCAAAACCAAATTCACCAATATCCATGAAAGTTCTGTAGTACCATTCGAATGTAGGATCCATGTAAGGCACAAATGTCTCTGATACATGGCCTCTATAGAGCACACGTCGATATTTCTTTATTGTAGTATCAAATATAGAAGCTGTAGACACGATCGTTCCTGCCCTCGTGTTGAATCCAACATGAAAATCCCAATTAGCCCATTTAACTTCATTGCCTTTGATGATGATCCTGCTGGTGTCAGAGTCATTGCAAGTGACTGATCCCTGGCTCGATGACTCGAAAATAGCACTCTCAGCTTTAGGCAAGGGGACTCTGAATCTATCTATATATTTGATTATCTTCATGGATTCAACATCTACTAGTGTAGTGATCCCCTCAATTGGCCTTGCCCAAAAATTAGTTGTCCCTCTTCGATAAAAACATGGAACGTTAAGAACTCTTCGTGTCTTTAGCTCCCCGAACCATCCAGCTGGTTGTGGTATGCAACTGACTTCTGATATATTCAAACCCCTTCTCAAAATTGAATCTTGCAATTGATGATTCCTCAATGTCAGCCTACTGGATTGTATAATGTCATCGAGAGTAATTGGAGGGTAACCGTGGCCAGTATACACATTCTCTGATATGATAGCGCGAGTGGACAAGTCCACCACTACTTCATAAGTCTCACTATTTGCACGAACCACTACCCTGGCTCGTCGATAAGGAGAAACAACATGTTTATGTTTATGCTTATGCAAGGACATCCAATGAAGGACATCCTCTTTTTTGGGCTCTTCAAGATCAACAAAGTGAAATGTTAAATTGGAGAGGGAACTAAAATGAGACTTTTGAATAATTACTCTAATTTTGTTGATCTCAGAAGGGCTAAGAGGGTCTAAAGGATGGTGGCATTGGCTTCTAGTAAAACAGAACAAGAAGACAATAATAACAATTGGAAGAGCCAATACTTTTATGAACTCCATAGAGAACTTCATATACAAATTGTGCTTTGACACTCACAAACTGTTTGCACATATATATTAGTGTGTTACCACAATATTGGATTATTACTTTCTTAGAGGAAAAGTTTTGGACTTTTATAAATCGCAGATCTATCCTTCCCACAATAACATCCACAATATAATCGTTTAAATATTGAAGCTTTAAAAGTTTTTGTTTATATATATTACTATTAAATATAGATCGATTGATCAAACTCATATCGTAGAGTCTTAAGTAATTTTTTTTCTTTGTTGTTTTTATCATCATTAAAGGTTTGTTCCGTTAGCTTCTTGTCGACATCCCGTTATTTTGATCCCAACTTTGTTTCATTTTATGTTACATTATTTGACTGGAAGTAGAGTTTAAGAAAGAAAGACGTTTAAAACTCGTGATAAAAAACATGCCATAGACATTTATACAGCTATAATAAAATCATATTATTAAGGTAGAACAAGAAGTTTAATGTTATATTACTTCTATATATCTGAAGATTGACATTCTTTTTTTAACAGACTAAAAATAAAACCGAGGCACATATAATGGGACCAGGGCAGTATATGGTTTGGAATATTCTTCTTTTTCTTTGTATGTTCTAATGGCTATAAAATATTGCACAATCATGATAGCTTCATTTAGCATACACTTGGTGTATTCAGTACAAATAATCAAGAAGATAAAAAGCAACCAAACTCATTCAATACAGTAATGGAGCAATGCTTCTTGATGTTTCTTGCATTGAAAGCTAAGAATTCTTTGGCTTGTTCTTTAATAACTTGGTATAAGTTCTCATTTTTTGCTCACATAAAGAGAACATGCTTTCTACTTTTCTGAAGTACCATAAATTGCTAAATTAAGAGCTACTTGCCTTGTGAAAACATTTTTTAATTGAATTTTTTGTTTCGTTTTATATGAACTCGTTTGACTATTTTTAAATATGTCATGATACTAGTGTTACTATAACATCATATCATTGAAGGTAAAACTAGAAATTTAAAGTTAGATCAATTTTAGATATAGAAATTAATGTGTCAGTCTTGATGGAATCAAATAAAAATATGTACAAATAAAAAGCTCCATCTCAATACACGAAGCATCCCACATTCATCTCATGGCGTATCATGACACAATCATCAATAGGCAACAACTTTATCGTTGCTTCAAGACTCGTCTTTGAAAGAAAGACTACCATTTTTTTAAAATGATAAAAGAGGCCAGATTATAAAACAATGCCACTATCCACATGATCCATTTGGACATGGATTATGCTTAAAGATATTTGCTGGCCATAGCTTTAAGATTGTTTGTTTCAAATACCTCAAGCATTGGTACTTCTTACTTCAAATACCAAAGGAAGAATATGCATAAAGAGGGTACATGTGTATTATCATTAAGCAATATGTCATAGAAAATATTTATGTTTTCTAAATTCTAGAATATTTGCATTTAATTTTGTTGCATATTAAGTGATATTGTAATTTACAATCAAATATTTAATCAAACTTGTAAATAACTCTTTAGCTCTTATTTTGATATCAGTCTCTATTATTCATCTTTAGTAAGCGAGTCTATAATAACAAGTAAGATCAGATTTTTGAAATTGCTATTAGGGATCAAAACCTAAATTTTGACCATGTATTTTATAGTTTGGAATTTACTAGTCTAAAAAATAAAATAGAAATATTTTTAAAACAATTAAAAATACAATATCAATATAAACATTTTTTATACCATCGTCATATATAATATAAATTCATCTTAGACATACATCTTAATAAAAACTTACAACATTACGTAGGTGAAATTTCACATAAATTTTCGCAACACAATCTTAAATGATCGAAGAAAATTCAATTGAATCATTTTTAATTTATAAAAACAAGGAGAAATAGAGTAAGATATGAAATTTCAGTTTCATTTATCATAATCAATTTATAGATCGTAACTGACAAGAGTTATGATAGTTTTTGGGCGGGAAAAAAGAAAAAAGTTACTTCTCGAGAGTCGTTTTTAGCCAGAAGTTTTATCGTAAATTGAAACTAGTTGGGCCAAAACAGATACCGAACACCAAAATGGAAAACAAAAGAAAAAGTTGCTTCTCGAGAGTCTTTTTTTACAGGAAGCTTGGAAAGTTTTTAGCGCTAACTGAAACTTGTTGGACAAAAACATATATCGAACACCTGAGTGGGAAACAAAAGAAAAAGTTACTTCTCAAGAGTCTTTTTAGACAGATAGCTTGAAAATTATTTTCGCGCGAACTGAAACTAGTTGAGTCGAAACAGGTACGAACAACAAAGTGAGAAACAAAAGAAAAATTTATATCTTGAGAGTCGTTTTTGTCAGGAAGCTTACAAAGCTTTTAGCACAAACTGAAACTAGTTGGGCCAAAAAAGATACCGAACACCTAAGTGGAAAACAAAAGAAAAATTTACTTTTCGAGAATCATTTTTGACAGATTACTTGAAAATTTTTCTGAACGAACTGAAACTAGTTGGGCCAAAACAGATATCGAACACTAGGGTGAAAAACAAAAGAAAAAGTTACTTATCAAGAATCATTTTGGCACAAAGCTTAAAACTTTTTTGCGTAAACTAAAATTAGTTGGGCCAAAACAGATATCGAACACGGGGCCTGAAACAAAAGAAGAAGTGACAAGTCACAATTGTAAATACAATTTAGGTGTAATTGGATCATTAAATACTAAAAATTTGCAATAAGGTTTGTTTTTCTATTCTTTTTACCTTGTCCTTGTAGTTTTTGTTCTGTACTGAAGTCTGAAAATACAGCAGGTGTCTGTTCATATATACAACTTCACCGATTAAACAAACCAAATTTTCCGGCCATTAGCATCGCTTTCCGGTGAAATTGGCTAATCTCTAAGCTTTCCGGCCAGGTAATGATCATCGATTTTTCACTCACTTCTGAATTTTATCACCGAACCGGAAATTTTCTGATGTTTTGTATCTAAAGTTGGGATTTTTGTTGTTTAATTTTTCAGATCTGTTAAATGTTGAATAACTGAAGGTAGAATTTGGAGTTTCAAAAAAAATTTGGTAATTTTTTAATGTTACTTTGCGTGAGATTTTGAGATTGCATTTTGTATTAACATAAGAAAATGGAGGATAGTGTGAGATCAGGGGGTGGTGTATTGAAGAAAAAAAGCTCATCTGGCTGTTTAATTATTAAAAGGAAAGATGATAGGTTGGGCATAGGAGGGATCAGTTCTTCAGGGGCTTCACAGAAGGTGAAGAACAGGCCTAAGTTGGTAATGAATGAGTATGAGTCGAGTGAGGAGATATCAGAGTCAATTCAGCGAAAAAATGGTCAAGTTTTTAGTAATGGTTCTGTTTTTTATGGAAGAAGTGGTGTTAGAGATGGTGAATTTGGTAGAAATATGAATTTGTCCAATTTCAACAAGCATGAAGAATGTGATACGAAAATGCAATCGAATGTGTATGGTGATGATAGATTTAACATGGTTGAAAGAAGAGGGGGTTCGAGAGAGTTTGGTACTGAGTCTACTAGTGTAATGGTTGAGAAGAGGAAGCTTTCATATATGGATATTTCAAGTAGTTTTTCCGGTAGTAGGTCAAAGGGAGATGGCGGTGGATTTAAGAGAAGGTGTGGTTTATTAGACGATGGAGTGCATATGCCCATGTCATTGCCAAGAGAAGCCTCTCATGAATCAATCAGATTGCAAGGGAAAAATGGGGTATTAAAGGTTATGGTGAATAAGAAGAAGATCGACTTCAGGCCCAAGGAATATGATCCTGTGGAAATTGAAGGTAGAAAAGGTTCTTCGTCGGCAGATGTTGTCAAAAGGAATTTTCAAGTCCGTCCATCCTTTTACTGGGGTCCTAAACGACCTGAAAAGCAACCTTTGTTATTTCAAACAGAGGGAAATGAGCTGAAACCGCAAAAACCTTTGTCGGGTAAAAGCACCCATTTAGTGGCCTCTGAAAAAGATGAGACTGATACGTCACTAAAGTTGGCACCTCCTAGTTTGCAGCCTGCTAGCTCAGCAATGTGTGTGCTGAAGGAAGAAAGCAGGCCGTTGGCGTCTGAAGATGTTACCCCTGCTAAAAGAAAAGATGGGAAAGTGAATCGAGGTGGGAGCACTGAGAAGCAGAAGTTGCGAGAACGAATAAGAGGAATGCTCATTGAAGCTGGATGGACCATTGATTATAGACCAAGAAAGAACAGAGAATATCTGGATGCAGTGTACATTAATCCTAGTGGAACAGCCTATTGGTCAATAATTAAGGCCTATGAAGCATTTCAAAAACGATCTGAGGTAGATTCAGGTAAAAGCAAACCTGATGGCAGCTCTTGTTCATTTGCTCCAATATCAGATGATTTAATTAATAAACTTACCAGGCAAACAAGGAAAAAAATTGAGAAAGAAATGAAAAAGAAAAGAAAAGACGATGACCAGAGACAAGATCCTAAACAGACTTTTGTGAATGAGTCTGTGTTGGGCATATGCAGTGATCAGCGTGAGAAGAAGTTCAATAACTATATAATGAAGACAGATAAGTTGCTGCAAGGAAAATTACATGCATCAGACCAGGAGAGTGGGGATAATTCAAGTGATAACTCATTGAAGGTAAGGAGACTTGTGCAGGATATGGCTGGAAAAGCATCTGTTGGAGTTGCTTCTAATTCAATACACGGAAGAAGAAGTAAATTAATTGGACGATGTACATTGCTGGCCCGTCATTCTGACAAGGGGGAATATTCAGATAGTGATGGATATGTTCCATATACTGGAAAAAGAACCTTGTTGTCCTGGTTGATTGACTCCGGAATATTAAAGTTGAGACAGAAGATTCAATATGTGAACCGTAGAAAGACAACAGTAAAATTAGAAGGTTGGATCACACAAGATGGTGTCCACTGTGGTTGCTGTAGTAAAATCCTTCCAGTTTCAAGATTTGAGCTCCATGCAGGAAGTAAACGACATCAACCATTTCAAAACATTGTTTTAGAGTCTGGAGCTTCCTTACTAGAGTGCTTGGTTGACGCATGGAATCAACAGAAAGAGTCTGATCGCCAGAATTTCTACAATATAGACATTGACGGTGATGATGGTGAAGATGATGTTTGTGGTATTTGTGGTGATGGTGGTGACCTTATCTGTTGTGATGGTTGCCCATCAACTTTTCATCAGAGCTGTCTAGGAATACAAGTATGTATCAATCAGAATATGCTCTCTTTACCTCACTGCATTTCGTATATCATTGTTGCTCTGTATTATCAATTTATCAGGGCTGGAGCCACTGTTATTGTTTCGGGTTCAACCAGTAGTGTTGGACCAGTGACACCCCCATGACCTGTGTTTGTATAAAAATTCATTTAATATGTGTAGATAATCTATCTAGAACCCAGTTAGCTACAAACATTGTGGTGCAGGACTCATGAACTAAAAATCTTAGACCCGTCTCTGGATATCGTCATAGTTCTCCACACACTTTATCTTTCCTTTGTGTGACGTTAATTATTGTAACTTTTGTACCGATATTTACCAAATGAAATTTTAAGCATGTGAATTGACTTATCCCCATACATAACTTGGAACTTTGTAATAGAAGAACTTTTGAATTTGATCAATGAGGCAAAGCAGGAGAAGAAAAGAAATCAGAGGTGGAAAGGGGTTCTTTTTTAATTTCCGTTTATTATCTCTGTCCTAGGCTAAAAATAACAAAAATTGGTAAGAACTTTAGTTTTGAATATCCAAGGTTGTGGCCTAGTGGTCAATGAAATGGGTTAAGAACTATGGTCTATGAGGTCTCAGCCTCCCAGGAGAGACAATAAATTAGGTGATATTTCTCCATCTTCCTAGTCTTGGTGAACAGAGTTACCTGGTACTTGTAGTGGGTGGGAGGTGATAAGTGTATCATGGAATTAGCAGAGGTGCGCACAAGTTGGCTTAGACACCCCAATTATTATAGAAAAAAGAATTTCTTAGTTCTGATGCAAGTCATCAGGTGAATTCATTCCTTTGCTTTTCTAGATTTCTCTGGAGTAGGTCTGCACTATCCATCTTAGCATGATATTGTCTTCATTGTCCATTTGTGGGATAGTACTGGGTATGTTATCGTTGTTATACTGTCCATTTATAGTTGATCAATAAACCTTGAGAGAGACTATAGAAAGGGGCCAAGTTATCTGATAAGAATCAGGTTACTTAAATAAAACCAAGAAAATAATTCAGAAGATAGGCGAAATTTGAGAATAAAATCCCCCAATTTTGAAATTAATTGCCAAGAGTCCTTATTGATCTTAGCATTCAAATTTCAAACATTAGCGATTAATACTAATTATGGTAAATAACAAATTCATCCCTAATATATATAGGGGGATACTATCCCAAGTAGCATGAGATTCAAATCCTACTTTTATGGAAATAATAATTAATAAAACCTAACTAGGAAACCTAAAACTAGGAAATCTTCTAAAAATAATATCTAAATTCCTATTCTAAGAAATTATGGAAAAGTGCCAAAATGGTCACCACCAAAATAGTCATTTACACCTGACTATTTCCACCCAACTTGTGTGAGAATTTAAATTCTCCCTTGGGCAGAAGCCGCAATCTTCTTCTGTTTGGGTTTGGACTTTTTTTTTTGACATAGGTAACTGTTTCTATTTCTGTAACACAGTACATCCCATGTACTGAAACCATATTTCAGAAGATCTCGAAATCTACAATCCTATCCTTATAATGAGTCTAAGACATCAATGATAGAGACAGTATCATTAGAGTATATCTGGTTACACCAAATATATAAAGTCAAAATATAACTCATTTTGACTTGTATTATGTTCTGTATTCTCAAAAACTCTTAAGGTTCCTCTCCTTCTATATTGTCCACCACATAGTTGTAGGTACAATTCTCCAGTTGTTTCTGTTCTTAGTGGTACTCCTGGTTCTTCCCAAATATGTAATGCTTCTGTGATTTTCCTGGCATGGACCAAGATATGTTTTTGAGATAAAGGAATAATCTCCAGGGTTGACTTGTAACCTTGCAATATATAAATAGACGGACCACTATTTCTGCAGTTTCCCACTGAAAAAGCATCTGGAACATAAAGGGATCCCTTTTTTCATCAAGTTATCTTGTGTCAGTACTAAAGCAGGTTACTTTGTGTGGAATTCTGGCTTTCCAAATGTGTTCCCAAGGCCATCGGAGTATTTGCTGGTTTGGTTGGTTCATCTTCCTATAGGCTGCATTTACTTTAAACTTTAACCATAAAATGTGTAGCAATTAGCCGATTCTTCTCCACAATTCTTGTACTACTTCTTGGGCTCTTCTTCCATGATAAGCAACATCTTGCTTTCCCACTGAAGCACAATAATCTTGGCTTGCAACTCCTTAGCTTGAGACCATGACGATGTCTTCTTAGGGATTCTATAGCATCATTCTTGTCCATCGAGCTATATCATCTTCTTTACCTTGTAAACTTAAAAAACAAAAGAAGAAAAAGAAAAAAAAAAGGACCCAAGTCACAGAAGACTATCATTGATAAAAATAACTCTAGGAAATTCCTGATCCATGATCTGCGGTGTGAACTCTGTCAGCTGACATCTTCTGACCAAAACTCTTCAGTTAAATTGACTATTGAACTGTTCTATAGATTAACCGTATTCCCTTCCCTCAATCTAATGAACTGTTTAAAATTTTGCATGTGTCAACCACAATATGGAAGACAAAAGCCCATTACAATTACCATGTTAATGAACATTGTTTTTAGGATTTTATTTACTTGCCAAAAATAATTATTAGGATGATAATTTCTTAGGGAAGTTCCTTCTCTATCCAGACATATCAAAGAATTCAACATGCTTAAAGTAATTTACTTATATCATGTTTGTGAATCTGATGACAGATGAGTTTTTCCTCTTACTCTTTATTATCATGCTTTCCAATTTGAGCTTATAACAGAATTTTCATTAAGCAGCAAGGCATTTAACATACTTCCACTTCCGCTTGGTGCAGATACTTCCTACTGGCCTTTGGCATTGTCCAAGTTGCACTTGCAAATTTTGTGGGGCTGCTAGTAGAAACCCTGCTGAGGATAGTGAGACAGTAGTCCACGAATTTCTTTCTTGCAGCCTCTGTGAGAAAAAATGTAAAGTGTATTCTCTGGGAGTTTTTGTACATTTACTTGTCTACATTCGAGCTGGATTCTTAGATTTCTCTTTGCAGATCATAAATCATGCAGTTTGGAGATGAATGCTTTACCTGCTATTTCCAATAATCCATCTGGTACATTTTGTGAGCAGAAATGCCAGGAGGTAGTCTCTTATTCTGGTTGTGAGTTCTTTTTATTTATGGTGTATAAGTATAACATATTAAGATAATGAAGCAGAGGTATCAATTAGTGGAAATCATTTGAGAATTAACTTTACTTTTAAAGTATGTTCCACTTTTTATCCCAGAGGACTCAGCATAAGCTCCTATGCACTATTTTCACTATCATTCACAGGTACAAAACCGTTGAAAAGAGATGATAGAAGAAACATTTTCTTGTACTTGTCAGAGGATTTGCTTTGAATGGCCAAATCTTCTCTACTCCTCCTTGAATGCCTGCTTGAATGTGTAGCATGTTTCATCTTCTTCGGCATCTTTCTGTTTCTCCAGTGATTAGTGCACTTTAATCAAATTTAGAAATTAAGGGGTCGTTTGGTAGGTTGTATAAAATAATACTCAATAGAGTGTATTAGTAATGCATGTATTAATTATACTTAATTGTTTTATTTTTTATGCATTGTTGGTGTATTAAAAATAGTATGTATTGTATAAAAATATTTATTAACAAAAGTGTCCTTCACAATTATGGTGGAAATATGTAAAAGTACTTTTGAGGGGTAATTGAGTCTTTTATCATACTAATGCATGCATTAAATCCTTTGCATTACTAATACCTAGAAATCAATGGTATTAGTAATATACAATAGAGTGTATAACTAATGCAAGGTGCTAGAAAAAATGCACCAAACAAGGAATTCCTAATACATATAATTAATGCATGCATTATTTTTACTTATACACTCTACCAAACGACCCCTAAGAGTTTAGCAAGAAATTCAAGAGAAACAAAAGGAAGTAAAGGTAAGATGCTTTTTTGTGGAGTCTCGACTTTTAGGTGATTGACATAATTCGACCTGTTGCTGCAAAAGTAGAAATGTATAAAATGGAGCCATTTGCAACTTATCAATTGAATATGAGCGCAAGGAGTTTAAGTCTACCCTCCTCTTGACTTCTTGTACTTAGATTTCTTGCTGGTTTCTAAAACATCCTGCAATTGTACGCATTGAGGATGGTTGCTTGAGATGGTTCTTACATGTTCTGCGTTGCCCTATAGATACACCAGTCCATAGGTGTGAAACTATGGTATGCAAAGGCTTTAAAAGGAGATTGGGTAGACCTAGCTAGAGATAGGGCACAATAGAAGAAAAAGATCCATATAGGTGATAACTACTAATTGAGGATGCATTATAGACTTGGATAGAACTTCTATATTATTATTAGTATAAGTATATTATGTATAGCCAATTAGTATTTTTCACTTTTATGATATGATATGAGCTTAAATGAAGAAATGAGTATTCATATAGCCGACCCTAACTTGTTTGGGATTGAGGTGTTTTTTTTTAAAAAAAAAGTAGCCGTAGTAGTAGTTGTTGTTGTTGTTTCCTCATAGTGATCCGAGAAGTGTGAATTTTTCTTGATAGTTTGTGTTCCCCAAATTTCTAATGCTATATTACATCTGATACTTCCCTCAAAAGGCCATCTTTTAAGAATAAATGATATATGTCTTAGGATTCTGAATATATTCATCATCATTCTAATAGTTACAACATGTAGTGTCTAAACCATCTGTATTTTATTTTCAGAATATCAAATATATCTGTTTGATTTTTTCCAAAACAAGTCAACTGACTGTTGAATCGAAAAAAGTATAATCAAATCCTGATAGAAGGATTTACAGTTTAAGATTAAATCTTGGCAACTTTGTCATATACTTTTTTTCCCCATGCAATTATGGTGAAAGACTGTTTTCTATATATGTGCTTCTCTTTCTTTGCTCGTCTTTTTTATTTGCTTTTCATTGTCTGCCTCATATCAGAGTTGGGATCTCCCATGGGATTTGTATTTTTATGTCTTTTCTTATTGGTCTTCTCTTGTTATGCAGCTGTATGACCATCTACAGAACATTCTTGGTGTCAAACATGAACTTGAAGCAGGATTCTCATGGTCCCTGATTCAAAGAACAGATTTGGACTCAGATACTTCTCATTACCCCTTTCCTCAACGGGTGGAGTGCAATTCTAAGCTAGCTGTTGCACTGGCTGTTATGGATGAATGTTTCGTACCCATTGTCGACAGGAGAAGTGGGATAAATATTATTCACAACGTTCTCTACAACACTGGGTATGCAGTTTTTGTAGTTCTGTCTAGTGTTTTAAACTTGCCTAATATAAAATTTATGGATGCCCATTATTTGTTTAACCTGAGAAGGAGAGCTGGCGGTCTGATTTGATTTGGCCATTTTGGTTTTCACATATAATCTTTCATACTTTTTTTTGTTGCGTGTGCAATTTCTACATTGGGTCCATGAAAGCTATATGTATATGTGTGTGTGTGTGTGTGTATGTATATATATGTTTTTGAAAAGTCAAAACATAGAATTTTGGTTTATGTTTTCAGATAGACTATCATTCTTTTTAGAAATTTGCAATTGTACCTTTTTCTCTTGATGCTTCAAGACAATGAGTTCCATCCTTACTAGACACATCATTCATCTTTCATTTTCACGTCTAAGTTTGTATGGCCGACTGCTAGGACGAAGCAGTGCAGAGCATTTTGATTGAGAAGAGAGGCCTGCGCTGTTAATAATTGAACTTCATTTGATCTAGGTTGAGGCTCAGAGGAATAAAAAATAACGTACCCAGTGTGATCATAAGATGTTCAGAGGAATAGATAAGAGAATTATGGCATTTTAGGATTACTTTTCTGTTCTTTAATATTTTTCCTCATCCTTTCTATTTCTCCTCAACTTCATGGAGGAAACAGTGCATTCTATTCATTCGTCATCTTGCCCATGTACACTTCCTTGAAACACAGTGATCCTCCTAAAATAATGTTTTAAAAAGAAATGATATATCTTTTCCTTCTCACTGTCTTTTGATTCTTTCCTTCAACTGAATTTGGTTTTCATTACTGAGTGGTTATCTGAAATTGTTCTCTTTCCTCTGAAGCTCAAATTTAAGTCGGCTGAATTTCCGTGGCTTCTACACTGCAATTCTGGAAAGAGGTGATGACATAATATCTGCTGCATCTATAAGGTATGGATTTCTCAAATTGTTAATATGTTACTATGCGAGTTTGTTTTTCAGATCTGAAGAGGTTGGGCACAAGATATTATGGTGTGTTGTTTTAGAACTAAATCATATGCAATGGTGTTCCTTGCATACATGATTATGATCTTTGATAAAATTTCATTTGTTTTTTTAGCACATGCACTGATTAACTGACCTGTGTTATCCAACGAAGCATTCCTTTATCGTAGTTGGACTGTATCTGTCTCATCTTTTCTTTTTAGGTGTAGCTATTGGCTCTAGATTATTGGCTGAAGGAAATTCCTTTTTCGTGTCGTAACCTTATGAGTGCTATCTAGAATGATGATTGCATGTTTTTGTACAAGTAAAACTCCTAGCTGTTTTAACGAGTTTCTTTTGGTTTAATTTTTATTCCCGACCTTGGCATTCATGTAGAAATGTAGGGAACTCTTCTAGTCATCAGTTTCCCAGTTTTACTTAATTGTTAAAACTTGCTTTCCCTTTTTCTTATGCGTCATCTGTGCTTGTGCTGTGTTTATTCATGCCTTACCAATCAGTAAATAGTGTTTTAACTGGTTGTCTGTTAGGATCCGTGGAACTCAACTTGCAGAAATGCCATTCATTGGGACCAGGAATATATATAGGCAGCAAGGGATGTGTCGTAGACTTTTTGATGCTATTGAGACAGTAAGCAAATGACTGTTGCTAACTATACTTTCTTTATTATTCTAATTCTTTCTGCAATTTGTATGCATGTAATTTTTTCTTAAGGGTAGCATATCAGACCGACTGCTGACGTTTCCCATGTTCCTTTATGTGCATGCTACTCCTATAGTAAATTGTTTTGGTAATTCATATGAATGAATTTATCAGAGAGGGAAGTATCCAAATGCTTTTCAGGGCTGGCAGTTTCACTCTTCCGAACTAACATATTGACAATTGATTCATCCTTACCAAAAGTAGCAAAAAATTTATCAAAGCCTACCTATATTTTGGAACATTGCCTGCAAGAAGTATGTCAAAAATGTGGCTTTAGAGAAGTGTAAAATGTTGTAGGACAAAAGCTGTCTCAATTACATTCACTTGTATTTAGAATTATTGGAAGATCTTTTAAGTTTTTAGCCGAAAGCACATATATTAAGAAACAGTTGTATTCTCAACTTGAGTAACAGTAATATCGTTGTGAAACAAGAAATTCCAATGATATAGCTTAGGTTGTTGTCATCTTGTTTTTATTTCCCACTATGAGGTTTAATGTTGTCCAACCTCATAAGGTTTATTTTTTATGAATGCCACAAAGGTTATGTGAGTGCCATGCCTGTTCTAATTGTCCTGTGCATCTGTGCAAAATTTGTTTAGAAAATGCTACAGCATGTTCATCACCTGCATTGACTATGTCCTGTATATGCTGTTAATTATGAGACCAATGTTTTTTACATCTTCCATCCAGGTCCTCTCTACTTTAAAAGTTGAGAAGTTAATCATTCCTGCTATATCTGAGCATCTGCATACTTGGGCCAAGGTTTTCGGATTCGATGAACTTGAGGAATCAAACAAGCAAGAAATGAAATCCATCAGTATGTTGGTGTTTCCTGGTACAAACATGTTACAAAAGAAGATACTGAAGAAAGATGTGCAAGAGGGTAATAAGATAATTATATATTCATGTGTCCTCTTTGTTTTTCTGTAGCATCTTGCTCTTTTAGCTAAGAAAATCTTTTCTTTCGGTATTTGTGACTTAGACTTGTACTACATTTTCTGCAGCTTGTGTGTTACAGCAAAGTCATCCTCCATCGCCTGTTTTGGTTGAAAAAACGGATCAGGAATCATCTCTCAGGCGTGGCGGACATCTGCATGATGGCGTATGTGTGAACATCGTCGAAAAACCTGATGACAGGTTAGGTCCAATGGATTCTGACTCTCCAGTTTCTGCCATTCAGCTAAGTGATAGCAGTGTGGTTAGAGCAGAAGGTGGTTGTTGCAAGTCAGACACCCAAGTTTCCAGTAAGGAGGTGGAGAAGAATTTTGCTGAATCAGCCACAAAGTGGATGCTCTCTTCTCCTCCATATGGCACAAGTGACAGCAGGCCTGATACTGAAGATGCAGCACTAGGTCCTGGAAACATTGTCAACTCTGGTATAGAGCCTATCAATGTAAAAGTTTAGAAAGAAAATGCATTTGTCTTATATAACACCCTGATCTTGATTCATAGCTGAAGTTTCTTCTGGGAACATGTCGGCAGTAAAATAGATTGAAGATGCTTCTGATCGTTCTGTCCACTAATAACACCGGAAAGATATTTGGGTGGTTTCTGTAGATAGCTGTTTTCTAGACCCTGCTGTCCAAAGTGCTTGAAAAGAAGTCAGCAGCAATAGACATATACCTTGACCCCCTGTGGATTTGGTAAGGCCTTTACAGTCTTACTCAGTGTAATTAACCAAAGCATATATGATGTGGTAATGAGCTACATGTGGCTCCAAAACAAGCTTCCGATTCTAAATGCACTAGTGATGCAATTTATGAATGAGGGCAATTTGGATTCCTCTGCAGTCAGAATTAGTGGAGAAGTTTCTTTTCAAAAAGCTGCAATTCATTCATCAAATGAAACTTCTCGCCATTTACTGCTTTAGCGAATAATGCAAATCATCAACTTGGCTCTTCTGGATCTAAATCCTTTTGATAACAGTTTCTGAAGCCAAAAGTTTCTCTTGTTGAGAGGATTGTCCAATTTTCTGATCCTGGTTAGGCAAAAATATTGAAGTAATTGTGATAGACTTTTGTCACTGTTTCTTGTTCTGCTGATGCTTCTGCACAACTTGGTGGTGATGAAAAGATTGAGAAATATGCTTTTGTTAGCGTTCTAATCATACTAGTTATGTTGTTTGGAGCTGTTTGGGTTGGTTTTCTGTTGAACTGATTCTTGATGCTTCCTTGAGAGCTTTGTCTAAATTGTGCAAGAGGCTGTTTGTAGCCGGGTAGTAAAAATTACTCAGCAAGGGTATTGGACTAATTGGTCTAAATTATATGCTAGTTTCCATGTGATCTAAGTGGAAGTTGAAATCAAGTTGGCTGGCTATGGTGGCTTTTGAGCAACACAATGGCGATGTATGTGATGGCGTGACGAGAAATGAATTCAATTGTTTTGTTGGAACATGTTTCTTGTGTTGCCGTCTAGACAGATTATTACTTTACTATAGTTAGTCAGAAGATGCTTGGGTGAAAATTTTGGAGAACTCCGCCGACTTTATCGGTAAATGAGATTCTGAATGTACATTAGATGATCCAACATTCAGTTTTCAAGGTCCTTGAGATCATTGAAAGGATAGTTTCATCCACATCTGGTTCAATTTTTGTTTCTCTCTTTGAAGGCCTTTTTCTGATATGATATGAAGCAGAAAAAACTAGTGTATAAAGTATTCATACTAAAATTGCTTTAGGATGTGGATGTTGAAATCTTTTATATAAATATTATTTGTTGGCATTGCCATAAACATTCTCGTTCATATAAAATCTCTTTTGTTTTCATTTTACATTGTCTTTGTTCTTCACATTGTATCCTCTTTTGACCTGATCTAATTTCGAGAGACTGTTTTCACTGCTTAAACTTTGTGATCCATATGTCCTTGTGATCTAATACGTTTTATCATTGCTTCAACACTTCTCTCCTCTTATTTTACACCTAATTACATTATTTTACAGTCACGCTTGTGTCATTTGATTCGCCACTCAATGAAACTCACACTTTAAGGTGGTCACTGCGATGACCTAGCCAACCATTATTTAATACACGATAGCTTATTGTTACTGGCTTTTCAATCAAGCACGATAATGGATCAAGGATTCCCTTGTACTAGATTGAGTAATTATTGCGACATTAATCAATTTACCTCTTAGATCACAAGTCTCGAAAAATAATTTTTCATTAGCGTGATTTTTTAAAAAATAAAAAATAAAAGCAATGATGAGTACCAAATTGAGTTGTAGCAAAAGTTTGAGGGTCAATTTATAATTGTAGATACATATACTTACACTCAAAATAGGACTTTGCATAACCTCCCACATCAAGAGCTAAAGACCTTTCTCTTTTTTTAGCCCAAATTATTTACTTTATATTTGCTTAAGATGTTGATAATCTATGCAATTGAGTATTTGTTGAACCCCACAAGTATGTTGTGTTCAAAAATGTAAGAAACTCCATAGTAATCATTGCCTATCAACTGTTTGCTAAATTGTCTCAAAGAAGTTTTAAGCCAGGACATTGACTTTCATCATCAGTCATTTTCATTTTTAACCCTTTTATGCTGTGTGGACTGCATAGATGCATTCAAGATTTAGTTTTTATGGGTTCCTACAACGACCTCAAGTTAATACTAAGTTCACCCTTGATGTAGAGCTTTGTTACTGATTGAATTCTTCGATGTCGTTCGTGTTCTTGAGAAGACAACTAATTAACTTGTCTTGTATACTCAATTCTCAGTGTAACTTAAGAATATGTTCATATTCCTCAAGACCCACAAGAGCTAATCAAGCAAATGATTTTTTCGAGGAGGATAGTAAACCACGTCCTGTTGCTGCAGATTTTGGTGGTGGGGTTTTTCATCTTTCGCCATTGTATAGGGATGAGAAATATTCGTCGAAAGATTGCAGGATTGAACTAGTGGATAATGAGACTTGGAGTGTGTCCTCTGGCTTAGCTGAAGTGTGGAGAGGAAATACAAATGTTGCTTCGAAGAAAAATTCTTCATTTAGTCCAGAGGAAGATGTTGATGATGCGGTGGCTAATTATAATGATGAAGATCCTGATTTTGACGATATTGAGGATTTGAGGATACGTGGTAACTTGTTTTACAAGCTTGATAAAGATTCCAAGGAATATGAAGAATATAAGTTCGATTTCCATAGAAGGAATAAGAACAAGAACAATGGAGATGACTGTCCCAAAGAGAAGGAGAAATCAAGTGACGTTTCAGCTTCTGGGATCGAGAAAAGCCTAAAGGGTATATATGAGAAGAAGCAAAGCAAGAAGGACAAACTGCTGTGTGACTCTGACTTTTCAGTGGACAGAGATGATACGAATAACCTGCAGGATTTTCAGCTAAAGAGGTCAAGAGTTCCAACTTTTAATCAGCTTACTGCCCCTTATCATGAGCCGTTTTGTTTGGATATTTTTGTCTCGAAAGGTTCGGTCAGTGCTAGCATCATCCATAGAGCTACTAGCAAGGTCGTTGCTGTGGCACATTCTATTTCCAAGGACATGAAATTTGACTTGGGATCGACCAAGAATAGAGCTACTTGTGCTGCTGTTGGGGAAGTTCTGGCTCAAAGAGCTTTGGCTGATGATATTCATAATGTAATTTATACGCCAAGGACGCGGGAAAAATTGGAGGGGAAACTTGAGATTGTTCTTCAGTCCATTATTAACAATGGCATCAATGTGAAGGTAAAGATTAGGCAGAGGAAAACCAAGAAACATGGCTTCCAACGCCCAACAGCTTAGGTGGCCATCCTATATTACTATTCATCAAGGCAAGAATGTTGTAAGTATCATCCTCATGGCTTTCGATGAAACTTGATTTAGGAAAGTGAATCAGGTCTTTTGCTGTAGAAAGTTGCTTAATCGGCACACTGACGAGGAGTGGAATCATGCAAGATTCAATAGTCCAGTACTAGTATTTTGACAAATGCAGATGCAATTAAAAGTGACAAGTTTTATCAATCCTGACAAGCTTGCAAACATAGTAGCAACTGGAACAAGGTTAGAAGTGCATTACCCTTTTTGCAAGATTGCAGAACATTTCCCTAAATTCATTGTTAAATTGTTGGAGAAGTTTCAATAGTAGTTACAAACTTGGGAATAATTCTTTTATTTTCTGCATTTTGCATTCTTTTCGTGAGAAAACATTGCTGTTAATGTAGAAATCTGGTTTACATGATAGCTTTATTTGTAATTAGTATGATAAAACGTCCAAAATATTTGGCGATTTCTGAACAGACAGTCTGAGACCTTAGCACACCCTTTATCCATATAGGATCAACAAAATTTTGTTGATCCATTTATTTGTTCAAATGCCATATGCTGAGATGAATTAGTACATTTGTGTTTGATTTCATGCTCCTGAATATAGGAATCAAGCTAAGCTGCTGTGTGCTCATACTTTGCTGAAGAATGGGGTGTCCAAAAGAAAATACTAGCTTATGAGCAAAACAATTTATAGCAATAAACCACACATACTTTTGCATTGAATTCTTCAAAAAGTAGAACATTTTTTGTATCAGTTTTACATCAGTCAAAAATGGAATAACAAAAATAAGGTCATGGTCTTCATGTTCAATCATCGGCAGTTGCGAGTTGCAGAGACAAAAGCTCTTCTTCAGGTATAACTCTAATATGGCAATCTGATCTGGGATAAGCTGCGCATAGTAATGCATAACCTCTCTCCACAACATCATCACTTAGCATACCTTCACTTTGATCCACATTCCCACTTAGAAGCTTTGCTGGACAAGTCATGCACACTCCTAGCTTGCAGTCGTATGGTACGGACATGCCAACGTCAATTGCCTTTGACAAGATTGTCTCATCAGGTTCAACTTCCAGCTCTGTAGTTTTACCTTCATGTTCTACTATTACTTTATAAGCTCGAACTACACTCGATACTCGTCGGTTTTCTCTTCTCCTGACTGACCAAGGACTGTTTAGCTTAATAGCAGCAAGATTGGCTTGTTTTCTTGATGGAATGAGAGTGAGAGATGGAGAGGTTGTTAATTGAATTGTTGCCATTGTGAGTGAGGAAAATGTAAGAGTCAAGGTTTTGTTGGTGTGGATAAGATGTGTTGATGAGAAGATAAGGTTCTTTTGGTGGAAATTTGGGCTGTGTGTTTTGTTGGCCTTTTACCAATTTGGGCTATAGTATGGCTCTACTTATTGCCTTTAGCCTTTGCTCATATATGTTTGACAAATAGTTTGCAACTTATGGTTAACTAACCAATTAATCCTACTTAATACACCACTAATAAGTAAAAAAAGACATTTACATAATAAACATGTGATTCAATTCAAAGATTTGCATATAATTATTATTTGTCATCAATGAGGATGAAATACAAGTTTAAACATAATTATTTTTCAAATATATCATTTCGTCCCTAGAAAATAATGTCAATATATCGAGAGCTCTAGCTGATAATCTTATTGTACAAGAACAAGCTTGATATTTCCGCGGCGTACCAAAACATCCTTCCCTCCACGACCGTTCACACCTTTCGGCACCGTCACGATTAGCTCCCCGTCCGCAAACGCAGCCGTAGCCAGCTCCGGCTTTGTGGACGTGGGTAACCTGAATCTCCACGTGTCCACGTTCAATTGGTCCAACATCGCTTCACCACCATTTCTCACTACTACTATCTTCGTAATCCCCGGATGAATCTCCACTGTTTGTGCCCTCACGTTACGAATATTTTCACCATGCTGGTCCATTTTTGCCATGAAACGGAAGAAATCGGGGTTTTCTACCACCTCGACATCCGCGTCCGACGGGATCGGTAATTGGAGGACTTTGCTGAACACATGAGGCAGTTTCCTGAGTTTTTTTATGCTGTTTGGTGCCATTACTACGACTGTTGAGGCAAGATTGAGTACAAGAAGAAAAAAAGAAGTAATTGGTATCAATACCTTGGAGCTAATTAATGGTTACGTTTTGTTGCATGGACAAAAAACGATGGACCCTCATGCACTACTTTTGTAGGTTACAAATGATAACGTGAGAATATTTTTTTCCTTTTGTTAAATTATTTAAAGCTAATTCAGATTCTCCTCCCGTAGTCTCTCAAATGAGTAAAATCTATGAAATATTTTTCCATTTCAATTCAAATCACAAGTTTTAATAGTATTTTCCTTTTTTTCTTAACACAGTGTTTGAACAAATGATGTCGCATAAATTAAAATGAGGTGATATGCTAAAAATGACCACATGAGAACCATTCGATATTCAAAAACATGATTAATCCAGATTCTTTCCGAGTAGATCTACTAAAGGGTAAATAATATTATTTTACCACATAATTCTTTCTCGAATAGATTTACTGCGGATAAATATTGTTATTTCATTTCTATCATTCGAATAAAAGACTTCTAATTAAAGATTAAAAAAATTGTAATCATCTTACCACACAAGATGGAAACGACATGACGGGAATAAAGTGACACGAATCCAAATCTTGATAAAATGGAATCATTTTAGTGAATGAATGGCAGGACTTGTATGTTTATTATCCCCTTTTAGAAAAACAAATAATTTAAACTTAAACTTTAATTTATCATTAATTGAATGAAATTTGTAGCCACATAAATATTCAATGTGTTGTTTTTGTCGAAATAAATATTCAATGTGTTGTTATTGTCGAAACAACCTAGTAAACGATACTCGTTGCCTATATAGGTTTGATTTCCCTTTTTTAGAGTTTTGGAGTCACAAAATAAAGAATGGAAAATTATCAAAAAATTTATGCGTACTAGTCCATGAATTTTACTAATTAATATGACTTTTTTTATGAGTCAATTCGAAACAATCTAGTTAACAATACTCATAGCCTCTATAGGGTCTACGCTGTTTTATTGGAGTTACGGGGTTATGACAAAGAAATTCAAGATTATCTTAGCTTTTATATATTAATCTATGAATTTTTCGGAATATGATTGACCAGCTCCATTTGTCGTCAATTTTTATGGTTTCAATCTAAACGACCTAGGGAGTCAATGTTGCTTTTTTTGGAGTTTCAGTTTCACAAAACTAATTTTCTCAAAAAAATTTTGTATGTATTAGTCCATGAATTTTTTTGGAATATGAGTGATCGACTCTGTTTGACCCCAAATTTTACGAGTCTATTTGAAACGAAATGGGGTCGTTATCTTTTAAACCTACTAAAAGAAAGTGTATCATATAAAATTGGAACAATCGTGAATCTTTTTATTATTTTTTCAAATCAACATCTGTTTATATTAGCAACTTGTAACCAACTAATACATTCAAAGACACATTTTGCAGGGGAACTAAAGAAGACAAAAAATACAATAACCACTCATGCCATGAATGCTGAAGCATAAGAACTAATGAAGAGAATTAAGAAGAAAGGAAGATCAATCATCTTGGTTAAACTTGCATCATTCGAAGCATCTCGTGACGATGGGATAGATCCACTTCCTGTCATCACGCGATATGAAATATAAGTTTATAAGCATTTCGAGTTGATGCATACTATGTTGTTCAGACTCTTCAAAAATGTTGTCGTACCAAGGTCGGATCTCTAACAAATGCACTACTTTTTGATGACTCGACAACATCTTTTAAGAGTCCGAGCAACATAAAACTCAAATTCGATCAAGTTTGGAAGTATTATAATGTACCTGAACCTCCTGTATTTGGAGAACTTGGTGTTCCAGCAGGAGAGCTAGTTGGGGATCCAGCTGTTATAGGTAAGTAATTTTAGTGAACAATCAAATTCACAAGTAACGTAAAATTTCTATGGTCGTACGTTTTCTCCGTCTGTTTCAAAAAGAATGTCTCGTTTCTACGTTTAGCAAGTTTTTAGTTCCATTGTTCTTATTTTAACCTTGATGTTAATAAATAGCATGCTTAAGACCACAAGATCCAAATATCGTTAATTTTGGATATTGAATATGTGAATGTGTAAAATTCAAACATAACTCCAAGGACTTTCAATTTTCGATCAAACGTCTACTTGCATTCTTAAATTTTGTGTACAGTCAAACTAAAACGCACAAAAATGAAACAGAGAGGAGTATTTTAGATTGGATGGTATTTCTTACCATTGCATTTGCTAATTGATGGAGTTTGAACTTTGCAAGCATTAGGAAGAGCCAAAGCTTGAGTCTGGTTAATGTTGAGTCCCATGTTTGAGCCACCACCATTAAGGACTTGGCACAAACACTCTGGATTGTTCTTAACCACCGTGCCTAGCTGCGTGCAGCACCCTGAGGACGGAGATGATGAAGAGTTCCCCGTGATGTAATTTAAGCAAGGTGACATGCTGACCAACACGTTCGTGCAGTCACTGCTCAATTGAGCAGCAACTCCGGACCAGATCATTGCCAACACGACTAAAACAAGACCTCTCGAGTTGATCCTTTGATGATTCGCCATTTGAATTGGCGTTTGTTGCTAAGAAATATTTCTTTTTACAAGTAAAGTTGATCACATAATGTGGCTAGAAGATGAAGATAGCTTGTTTGATTTATATTAGGAGATTGACAAGTAAGAGTCAAAATAAGATACTCTAATAATTGGTGACTAACAAGGAAAAAAAATAGGTGTCACAGGTTGGCATTTTGGATTTTTGTCATTAGTTTTAGTGTTGTATCCACTTATAATATAAAAAATATTTACTCTAACAAATCACTTAAAAAGTCATTGTTATTTGGTATCTTCAAAAATGTCACTGAATACATATCGAATCTAACATAGGTGCGATAACATGAAAAGGTTTGAAAGCAACATAACTTTATAGTGATTTGGCAACCTATATGTAGCTTGGCATAGCATGTTAACTTAAAGTAATAATTAACAAAAAAATTAGTATATACAACTTCAATTCTTTTTTATCATAATTTACAAAGGAATTAGGTAGAGTAGATAATGTTTAGTTATGCATATGGCCAACTCATGTAATCTAACAAACCCCACAATTTGTTAATTTTTCTATTTTTTCACTATTATCTCAAAACTTTTCTAAAAGGCAATTACACTTATTGCTAGAAAACATTTAGATAAAATCACTAAATATGTATAAAAGTTAAATCTAAAACTCAGTTTAGTACTTGAGGTCGTGTATTAGAATTCAGAACTCATAAACTTCAAATCCTGGCTCTATCTCAGAGTCTCGGAACTGTTACTTCCTCCTTGACATTGAGTCCTGGAAAATATAAGCTATCCAAACATGTTAACGCCATGGCGTTCTTGGAATCTGTAGGCATATCAGCTACTGTAACAAATTTTTTCGTTTTAGGATGATAGATGATAAGTTGTTGATTCCATTGTCCATGAAAGATAATTTCACCATTTTGACTGCACCACAAAAGCTTTTTATCATGTAGAAACTTGATGGCAAGTTGTATATGTTCGTTAACCATTTCCATCCATCTTGTTCCATAATCCAATTCTTTGTCATGGTATATAAACTAAGACGACCTTTCAAAGTATTCAAACTAAAGAATTCATTCACACCTATAAATTCGGGTAGCGAAAGTTTCATCTGACTTCACGTCACACCTATAAATTTGGTTGATTAAACATCAATTCAAAGACCAAAATACACCATCTCCCGTGCTAGTACCTTGAGAGCAACGATTATTAAATAGTCATATTGGACTTGTTTTCTTTGTCCAATAACCAGCCTTTGGATATAGTAATAGTTAACTGTGGATGCTGGCAGTATGAATCAACTCCTCTAGATAGAATATATATATATATATTTTAAGAATCTGATATAAGTAAGACAATGTTTCTTTTTTTTTAAAAATAAAATAAAATGGAGCACCATAACTAAATAATATTGATTTGATAACCTATAATAAGTAGTTTCGCATAACATGTTAATTATCCTTTTTGACATTAATTTACAGAGGGATTAGGTGGAGTTGGATAATAATTAGTTATGCAGGTGGCCAACTCATGCAAACTAACTGACCCCACAATTGTTTATTGGTAAAAAAATTAAAAAGTTTGAAAGAAAAAAAAATGCATTTTGTGAAATGAAAAAAAAAAAGGAAGCAGAATTCAAGTTCAACATTATCTAAACATTGTTTGGTTTAAGAAAAACAACTTTATTGTCTAGGAAAATCTAATTCATACTTAGTTTTCGCAAATTTTAAAAATAAAATTACCTTTGCTAAAGAATGTTTTATTCAAAAGCGAGACTTCTCAAAATAAATTTAGATTAGTTATTCAAACATATGTCGAACCGACAAACCGAAAAAAATTGAAAAAATTACAAAAGTAAACTTTTTTTGGTTTATGTTGACTATTCCAATACTAAGCAGTTGAATCAAAATTCTCAAAGTATTGACAACGATGATTCACATATTTTCATTTCATTTATCACTTAACAATAGTAAAATATATAAATTTAGTATCAACATACATACGAATAAAAATATACCCTTATAAATTGTCATCACTGAACTAGATATCCACTTACAAATTACAAGTTCAATATGTTATGTTTATTGAAACTTAGAGATTTTCTCTTCTATATTTCGTTAAAAAATATTGGATTCAGATGAATTCGAACGGAGTTAATGAACAACAATTAGGCCACGGCAAGCAAGCCAGCAAAACTATTGAAAAAATTAGACCAAAAGAGAAGTTTGTTAAAGTAGTTGAACTTCATTCACCTACATTTCCCTCTATATATTCCCTCTTTACTTCTCCCCACCAATTAAACCATTCAAATTACAATCATATCATAAAAATAACTACACAAAAAAACAACTTCCTATTAGTTACTATGGCTTTTCATTACTCTATTTCTTTCCTTTCTTGCATTATTGTTTTAGCAATTTTGCCTATTAATGCCCAAATTGTGACATCTCCATGTACAGCAACAATGCTGACTAGTTTTACTCCTTGCTTGAATTTCTTGTCCAACGGCAACGGAACGGCTGCACCATCTCCTGGATGCTGCAATGCACTGAGAACAATGATGGGCAA